GTACATTTTTCCCACTACCGCAGCAACAATTTTGTAAAATGACTTTCATTTTGATACTGTTTTGGAAGTTAACACATTCCAGGCTATGAAAATAATGCCCCACAATTCATAATGAAGTTATTTGTGTATTACCCACGTAATTTGGAAGACTGCAGTCACATGACCAATGCACTGATGGGAGTAAAGAATTAATTAGTTTAAAGAACAAGAGTTTGTGTAAGGAGGCTGGTTGGGGTGGTGGAAAGGTCAAACACACACAGGACTTTCCACCAGGGCCCTGTTTCAGGAAGCAGGCTCAACAAACTCTGAGCCTAATCCCAATCTCCGGGTTGACTGAGCCTGAGCTGAGAAACTCTGAGTTTTCGGTTCCAGAACAGCTGATCAGCATTAGTTCAATCAACTCTGAGTATGTTCAACCTGAGAGAGAGGCGCATTCACGGCGAGCACTGAAAGACATCATCAGTGGAGTGCAGATAACGTGATATTCATTCTTTGAATATAGGCTATGAAAAGTATTCATGAATCACTGCATCATGTATCCACATAGATTAATTTCTGATTAACACTGACAAACCTGCAGTTCTTTGGAATTCCTCTTCTTTAAGATTATTTTCGGGGCTTTTGTTGCCTTAAATGGCAAAACAGCGTAATGTTGAGGGAGAGAGGGAACAACGCGCAGTGAGAGGCTTCAGGCTGGGTTTGAACCCGCGGCTGCTGCATCAGCGTCTGATCACGGGGTGTCCGCTCCATCCACTAAAGCCTGATATATGGTCCTGCGGCGTACCTACGTCGTTGCTGTGACACCGTCGTGAACCCTTCGAACTTCTCCGTCACTCCATTTCATCGCGGTGCAATTCACCGCCAGAGCGGTAGGGGGCTGCGGTCCTTTCCAGAATGGTTATCATCGTCTCTAGTTGATCTTTGTTTAGCTTCCGGCTTTTCCGGTCACAGTGAACAATGGCGACCGAGAGAGAGAGAATCTTGCTGGAGTTGGAGTTGTTGGATATCAAAGAAAGTATGTTACTGCAACATCTACATCGCAACAGAAGATGTTTAAAGATGGCGGGGATGGCGCATTCTGGAAATACGGAACCGGAAATGCGTTGCTACTAAGCAAACCAATCACAGCCCTCTGTGCTGGGTCTGCATCGCTTCGACGTGTAGTTACATTTTTTGGGAAGTGCACGTTAGGCTACGCCGGGGGCTACGGCGAGCCTCCTGCGTAGCCACGTACCTTACGACATAGTTATGTCGTTGATTTAACGCAGGACCATAAATCAGGCTTAAGCCAACGATACTCCTTTGCAAATACTTTGATAATCGATTCTGATTTATGTCCAGGGAAAACCACAACAACGGGCAAAAGTCTTTTCAGAGCCAGAGTCACTTTTCTTACGGGCCGACAATCCGCTGTCTCTCTGATGTGTTCAGTGTCTCTGATGTTATAAAGAAAACTGCCGCTGCCGAAGAATCAAAGGGCAATGCATAAAATTTGCTCTAATGATAATGCAAATCCACAATGTGTAATATTTGATATAGGCTATCTGGGTGGAACAGATTGTTAAGATAAATGATAGAGTGTGAGGTCAAACAGTATCTTTCATACAGACAGTCCTCCGGGGAGAAATCACAAACTGGGTCTAATCACCTTCTCCTTACGCAGCAGCCTCTGTATAAACTGTGCCCCAACATCCACAACTTCATTCACTAAAGGACACGCCATGTCTCTCCTTCCTGCTACACGCTCAGCCTCAGGCTTAGATGAAGCAAACCTGCGAGCCAGCAGGTTTGCTTCACGGAGTAAGTTGCCATAGTAAGTGACTCAGGGTTTCGCTGAGCTGGCTTTGTGAAACGGAGAACTCAGAGTTTCCCTCATCTCAGGCTCAACATACTCAGAGTTTTCACTAATCCTGCTTTCTGAAACAGGGCCCAGGAGACCAGTAATCGTGACTAGAATTCTGAGTTGTTTTTTTCCTAAACCCAACCTTCGTATTATTACTTGGCTAAACGTGACCTACATAACTTTACGCTAAATATGTTGCGTCATTTATGAGACACTACTTTGTTAGATAACATACAAACCGTTGTTTGTGCACTTTTTGTTCAATATTATACGAACCATTTTATCAGGATACGTTGCACAGTCACATCATGATATCTTCCACAAAGTTATGCACTTATCATTTGGGCTGTCACTTTAAACCCTTATTTTCCATTTAGTTATACTCTATGTATTTTGTACAACCATTATTTAGGCATAATGTACATGTAATGTTTCTTGCTTTTGTATGTTGAATAAATGAAAAAGCAGCAACTCACAGGTCACGTAACCCATAGTAGAATATGGATGTCCTGATGGTTTATACACGTAGAATCCTCCGGGACACAGAGCCACACTCACTGATGTACTTGTGCTAGTACAGCCATACACATAACCATATGCAGTCCCTATTGAGGGAGTCACAGACTCAGTAGTTGGGTATGAAAATGGAAAATAAATCATATACACAGTGCCACCAATATTTCTTGATATGCACTTTGTAACAATTCTGTCTCCGCCAATCCCTGTGAAGCGCCACCATTTGTTGACGAGATTTGAATCATCTTTAGGAAAACCAGGGAAAGAAGTAGATGTAAAGTCTCGGTTGCGCCATGGTTCAGTTATGTTGGTGTATCCATCACAAGAACCTGCAAGGTACAAGGAAACACTGGCAGCAAAAATAACGGTGATTTCAAGCTTTTGTGAGAAGCTTTTTTTTGGTGTCTTTAAATGTGTAAGTGAACATCATCCATACCAGGAGGAAAATCACATGTCACAGGGATGACAAGTAAACCTAACAAAGAGAAATAATCGAGAGTCAGTGCCTTTAACATTAAGGATTTTGTATCATTTATATACATCTTTAAACAAGAGAGATCAAGAGATGATCATCTCAAATAATTAACAACAAATTACCTTCATTTTTTAAAAATATTGAGATGTAGCTTAAAAAGGAATGTAACATATCACCAGTTATAAATAGCACAAGATTCCTTTATACACTAGTGATGTCTGTATAAAATTAAATTAAAAAAGGCATGAATCATAATAACCATTATTTATTTGTAATTATTTGCCCTTTCTTTGTATCTCAAAACAGGGTGCCTACAGATATTAGACACTTAAATTTAATGCCTTTAAGACTTTTTCTAGATAATTTTTTCACAAAATTTAAGACTGCACAAACTGGACAAATCATATTTTTCTTATTCAAGCATAGGTATATAGATCTACATTCTGTCAACAGGTAAATGCAAGTATAAAGTAAAAGAACAGTGTAAGGTTCAGTGGTAGGTTTACAGAATTGTAAAATCAGAAATGTGGACATTCATACAGAAGAGCTTTTGTCATACAGACATTAAAAGATAGGTGAATGAAATTAGATAAAATGTTTGTGGCAATTACAACCTCACAAATTCAAATTTAAGAACATTAAATGACTTTTAAGGCCTAATATTTATAAAATTGTAAGACTTTAAGGACCTGAAGACACCCTGCAAAACTTCAATCTCAAATAAATCATGTTCTGTCAAAACAACATAAATTCAAATTAAAAATTAGCAGCATTTAAATTGATAATGAATTAATTCATAGAGACTGGTCAAGCGTGCTCTTGCAATTAATATGTTTGGAGATTCTCATGTCTACTAAAAAAAAAGCAGAAAATCACTTACCCAGGAGAAGGGCTGAAGCACAGTGGTTCATCGTGACATATCAAAGATGTTCTGTTGCAAGTTTGCACAACACCCATTAAGTGTTTTTTAAGATGCGAAGCAAATGCAAAACAGTTCACTCACTCCTGATGTCGAAGGTGTCTTCAATAACAGGGCAAAAGTTAGGAGGAGACAAGAGAAAGATGCTGTCATGAAGCATCTCTATTCCAGATGTGTACCAGGGCCACTGTGTCACATCTGTATTGTGTATACTGATGGTTTTTGCCGAACTTAACAATGTTTTTCTTTTTCATTTGAAAGATATGTTTGCCCCTTGATGTTAAGAATTAAAACTGATCCGAGAGAGGTGTTGTTGGTACTTCATGGTACCTTAAAACACACATGTCCCAGTTCACGTACTTTGTAAGGGCAGCTGCATGACATACTTAAGGCAAAAAAACGAATAAGTATACAATTCGGAACACAGCCTTCACTTAAAGGTCCAGTGTGTAGGATTTAGGGGGATGTACTGGCAGAAAAGGAACATCATATTCATAACTATGTTTTCATTAGTGTATAATCACCTGAAACAAAAAACTGTGGTGTTTTCATTACCCTAGAATGAGCCGTTTATATCTACACATGGAACAAAGAGTTTGCCGTGTTTACAAACCAAACACTGGCTCTTAATAGGGCAATTCATGTTTTTGCGGCTTTGCGTCAGCCAGATCTGTTTTTTTTTTTTTTTTTTTTTTTCATTTTTTATTTGAAAGATAACATCACTCAGGATGTTAAGATTTAAAGCAGCCTTTGAGATCCGTTAGCTCCCATTATGTGGACTTCAGGGATGAAATTATAGTCTTAGTTATATTAAAATAAATCAGACGGTTCCTACAGATTAAGGCAAGTTGGATTCAAGACTTTTCATAATGCAACTCGGAATTAAATTTCAGAGCAATTTACTGTTTGGAGATCTGTTGTTGCTGATCCTGGTGCTGGTATCGGAGGCGTGGCAGAGACAACGGAAGAACAGATTTGGGAAATATCTGGTATTTGTTGGTTAGTTCTCTTGGCCATTTTGTGTTTCTCACACTGCAAGTAGGATTCCACTGCCTTGATTCCTGTTGTGCAAAGTTTGAAAAACTTGTTGCATAAAATACACCATGCTTCGTATGCATTCCCCTGGACTGGTTTAAGTCATGCCGCGAAATCATGGGTAAGTAACCATTTTTCATTGAAGCTGAGTTATGATGACAGCTAGAGGGCTCTCTGCTCTTAGTGCCCTTGCAAAAAAACAAAATATAAGTGGATCTGCTTGACAATAATGTGAGAGTATTTTTTTAAATAGATGTTACCAGTTATTGAGATTTTTCAATGCAGCATTAGAAAAAAAAAACAATTCATAAAATCATACTACACATTTCAGCACTTTTTAGATGTTTGAAAGATTGATTTAAGACATCTTAATACCAATTAGGACCCATATTAGAATTCAGTGCCTTTTTAAGAGCGTTTAAATATCACCAGAAACCCGGATCACTAATGAACGTCACATGCATCATCTCCCAACAAAGCTGCTTTTACACTTGGACTCAAACACAAATCAGAACTTTAACTTTGTGTTCTTAAAGAATTGATTGTTCTGACCCTCAGTTAATAGCAAAAAAAAATGAAAAAAAAATAGGATTACTCAAGAGTTACATATCCTGTGATAAAGTGTGGATGACTTGGTTTGTACACATAGAATCCTCCAGGACAGAGGGCCACACTCACTTTTACAGGTAAGGCATAACAGCCAGCATAAAAAACATACCCAGTCCCGCTTGTTGGGGCCACAGACTCAGTAGTTGGGTGAGCAAATGCAATATAAACAGTATGATGTGTGCCACCACGTTTGCTTGAGACTCTGTCTCCACCAATCCCTGTGAAGTGCCACCATTTGTTAAGAAGCTTTGAATCTTCATTGGGAAAGCCAGGGAAAGAAGTGGATGTAAAGTCTTGGTTGCGCCACGAATCAGTTATGTTGGTGTATCCATCACAAGAACCTGCATGAAGACAATAATGGTGACATCATGGTTGTTTCAATATAGATAGAAGCTCTTTGTTTTGTTTCAAATATTCATACCAGGAGGAAAATCCGTAGCTGCAGGGATGATGAGGAAACCTGAAACAAAGAGAGATAATGGATTGTTAAGGAAAATAAGAATCAATGTCCTGAAAGCAATTGCATTTATAATATGGCTGGTTATATTTTTGACAAATCATTATGCAGGTTACAGTTTTCAGCCTTGCAAAATATCAACTAAATAGCGACTTAAATTTTTTTATTTTCTTTTAGCAATATTAAAGTCACAAAAAGTTTTAAAAAGGTACCATTACCAACAGTGCCTCTCTCAAATCAATATTAAAGCATGACCATAATCTAATATATCAGAACATATATATAATCAGAACATATCTTTAGAACTAAAACTTTGATCAAAAGCACTTCAGAATGATGTTCGTTCTACTGGAAATACTAATTTTGTGATCTTAAAATAGCAGTTTTTGAAATAGACTACTAAAATAAAGTTGATCAATTTCATGGGATTGTTCTAATAAACTACTTCCTGTTGGTTTACATACATTTTTTATGACAAAAATTACATGATATCACGCACCCGGAAGAAGCAATGGCACGTCAAAATTTGCACAGCACCCAAAAAATGTTTTCCTTTCTAGTGCACATGCAAAGAAATAGAATGCAAATCCACTTCAAGGAAAGAGAAAGATGACATCACCAAGAACCAACACTGGAGATGTGTACCAGCACTGAAATTGTGGCAGGTTTATAAAGCAATATTTAAATGCTGTGTCATGTCCTTTTGTTTATTATGTCACATAGATACAGGTAGATGTGTCCGTTCGACCTGAGGTTTGTCAAAGTTGCACTGTGTTGTTGTTTCTCACTAAAGAGTTTGAGCGTCTAGCCTCAATTTATGGCCAGTAATGTGATGCATTTAATAATAAAGACTGGTTTGCAGTGCTTTGCTTTTTAATTTGACATATGGTATTTCCTCTCCTCAATTTTTGTAACAATCTAGTACAAAACTGGGACTCAGTTGCAGGGAAAAACACAAACACCAAGAACAGTTTATCAAATCCAAATCTACCTAGGAGGTCAGGGGTCAAACACATGAAGACAGTCAGCAAAGGCAGAAAAGTCCATTCAGGGAGATCACACAAAAAGCAGAGTCCAAAAATCTAGGCAGCATCAAAAACCAAGGAATCAAACACACTGGGGAGCATGAACACACTAGAGCGGCAAGGGCAATGTTCTTCTTCTTCTTCTTCTTCTTGTTCTTCTTCTTCTTCTTCTTTCTTTTTATGGCGGTTGGCAAACAACTTTTCAGGTGCATTACCGCCACCTTCTGGACTGGAGTGTGGAACAGAATATACTATGTATTAAATTTTTTTAACAAGCCCTGTTGCTTCCAAAAACCTAAAAATCTCTCCAAATACAACATCCCCTGAGTTTCTTCTCAATATATCTGCTACATTAAACGGTATCTTATTTCTCTGACATGCTGCTTTGAGCATGTTTCTCTGTGTTTGGTACTTTGGACACTGAAAGAGGATATGTTCTACTGTTTCTCCTGACTCACAATGTTCACAATTTCCTGTTTCATGTTTCTGTATTATGAATAATGTGCTATTTAACCCCGTATGACCAAATCTCATGCGTGATATGATGTCTTCTTCTTTGCTGCTCCTTTGACATTCTCTCATTTCTCCAACATTCCTTTGTATATTGTAAAAATGTCGACCTCTGCTCTCTCTGTCCCATTGCGTCTGCCATTTCTTCTTCATCTCTGATTTTACTATACTTTTAATCTCGGCTTTACTGTATGTTACAACCATTGATATTTGTTCTTTTCTTGTTGCACTCTTGGCATACTTATCGGCCAGTTCATTCCCCTCAAATCCTATATGTGCTGGAACCCAAATGAACTTGATCTCAACTCCTGCTCTCTTTATTCCCTGTAATATATGTGCTATCTCGAATATTATATCTTGTCTTATATTTGACTGAATCTGTTTTATACTGACCAATGCACTACTGGAATCTGATGCTATCAGCACTTTACCTGGTCTGACTTCATGTACCCAGTTCAATGCCATATGAATGGCCAGTAGCTCTCCTGTGTATATTGCTAAATCATCATTGACTCTTTTATTCAATACAATATTTAAATCTGGAACTACAAATGCTATTCCCACTCTGTTTTGTCCTGATTTGGATGCATCTGTATATACTTTAATAAACTGACTGTATTTCTTATTTATATATTTGTTCACTTCACTCACACTCACACTTTTCCCTTTTTCTTTCTTTAGTAATCTCAAATCGATAATAGCCTCTTCCAGTGTCCAAGGTGGGACAATAGAAAGTGGAACTGTTTTGCTCATATTTTTATCAGCTATCCTACTTTCTTTAACCCGGTTTTCAATTGTCCATCCAAAACTTTGTACCTTTCTTCTTTCTTTCTCTTGACACGGCTTTAAAATATTCTGAGCTGGATGGTTTTCTCCATGTCCCCTTAAATGTGCCCAATATATCAATGATATCTGCTCTCTTCTGATTTCTAGAGGCATTTCACCCATCTCTACTTGCAAGGCTGACACTGGAGTGGTTTTCTTTGCACCACAACACACTCTTAGTGCTTGATACTGTATGCTATCCAGTTTTTTTAACATTGTTTTTGATGCAGATTCATATACTATACAACCATAATCTAATACTGACCTGATTAAACCAATATATACCGTTTTCAATGATGCTCTATGTGCGCCCCAATCTCTTCCTTTCAAACACCTAATAATATTCAATATCTTTTTACACTTTCCTACTACTTTTTTAATATGTGTTTTCCAAGTAATCCTTTTGTCAAACCACATCCCTAAATACTTAAAACAATCCACTATTTCTAAATCTTGCTCATATAACTTAAGATTGACTTGATTTTGTATTCTCTTTTTGGTGAAGACAACCACTTTTGTTTTATTAACTGAAAATCTAAAGCCCCACTTCAATGCCCAAGCTTCTACCTTTCCAATAGCCTCCTGCAATTTCCCAACAACAAATGCAATATTTCGCCCCCTTTTCCACATAGCCCCATCATCTGCAAATAACGAAACACCAATAGAACTGCATACGTTACTAAATGTGTCATTTATCATGATTGAAAACAAAATCGGACTAATAATACTACCTTGAGGGGTTCCATTCTCAACTGTGTAGTTTTCACTCAAGTTTTTACCCACCCTTACTGATATCTTCCTGTTAGTTAGAAAATTCTTGATCCATCTAAATATTTTCCCTCTTATTCCCATATGATATAATTTAATAAGCACCCCCTCCTTCCACATCATATCGTACGCTTTTTCCACATCGAAAAACACAGCCACTATACTTTCTTTATTTACATGGGCTCTCCTTATCTCATGTTCTAAGCATAATGCAGGATCTACCGTGCTCCTTCCTTTTCTGAATCCACTTTGATAGCATTTTAATTCTCCCCTTGTTTCTAAATAATAATTCAACCTCTCATTAATCATTTTTTCCATAGTTTTGCCTATATGAGATGTTAGAGCTATTGGCCTGTAGCTCTCTGGCAAACTCGAGTCCTTACCTGGCTTACAAATAGGAACAATTATAGATTCTTTCCATTGAATAGGTAAGTTTCCCTCTTCCCATATCTTATTGTACAATTTCAATAACACCTCTTTACTTTGATCACTAAGATTATCTAACATACAATAGCTTATTTCATCTTTTCCCGGAGTTGTTTTTCCAAATTTTTTTAAAGCATTATTCAGTTCTGTCACTGAAAACTCCATATTAATTACATTTCCGTATTCTTCTTCATCCTGTATCGTTTCAATATTTTCTATTACTGTTTTTTCCCTGCCTTCTTTCTCTTTGTTACTCAAATTTTCTGTACTGTGTACCTTAGCAAAGGTTTGTGCTAATAGCTCCGCTTTTTCCTTGTCCTCTATTATAAAGTTCCTGTCATTTTTCATTACTGGATATCCATATTCTTTCCTATTACCTGACATTCTTTTGATCATACCCCACACTCTTTCCAACGGTGTACTCCTACCAAGTGACTCACAGTACTTTCTCCAATACTCTCTTTTTGTTCTTTTTATTACTCTCCTCACTGTTGCCTGTTGTTTCTTATAATTTATTAAATTCTGAAAACTAAGAGCTTTTTTCAATACCTTAAAGGACTTGTTTCGAGCTTTTATTGCCTCAGTACATTCATTTGTCCACCATGGTACTAATCTTTTCTTTTTATTCCCACTGCTTCTTGGAATAGACTCCTTTGCTGCCTCAATTATATTTTTGCAAATTTCATTGTTCAGTTCATTAACCGACGTATTTACATTTATCATTCTCAATTTACCCTCACTTAATATTCTGAACTTATCCCAGTTTGCTCCCTCAATTTTCCATCTCCCCTCTCTCTTGCTCTGATCAATCACACTTTCCATTCCTATACGTATATATATTGGATAGTGGTCACTACCCACTGTGCTCCTCCTTAATACTTCCCAATTTCTTTTCCCTGCCAAAGTTTGTGAAACCAATGTGAGATCTATTGATGACTCTGTGCCCCTTGCCAAATTCACCCTTGTGCCTGCACCAGTATTTAAACATACCAATCCTTTGTCATCTAGTATTTCCTCTATTACTTCCCCATTTGAGTCATCCTGGTCCACCCACACTGTGCTATGTGCATTAAAGTCTCCACACCAGACTATTTTCCCTCTCCAATCATCAAGAATACCTTCCATTTCTTCTTTTTTTAATTGTTTGCATGGATTATAGAAATTAATTAATTTTATGCATCCCTCTTTTGTCCAGACCTCTATAACTACTACCTCTAATTCTTGTGATGTTATTATTTGTCTATATTTCACACCATGACTGATAAATATTGCACACCCTCCACCATTTCCATTTGTTCTGTCCTTTCGAATGCTAGAGTATCCACTTATAACAAAATCCAAATTTGGCTTGAGCCATGTTTCTTGTACACAAATAAGATCTGGTTTTTCCTTTAACTCGCCGATATATTTCTTAAACTCTTGTCCATTTGCAATGAGACTCCTAGCATTCCATTGGAGTATGTACACTATGATATGTAGGGGCTGCTGCTTGCTGATGTCCCTTCTCCCTGACTAAGGTCTGCTTGTATTTTTTCCCAGGATAACTCCTTCATATTCAGAAATTTTGCTGCTGCCTTCACAATTATTTTGATTTTTTCTGTTTTAGTTTTTGCTTGATCTGAGCAGTTTATGACATATGCAAGAAAAAGTACTAGTTTTTCTGTTGACAGTCCTGTCTGCTGGTTTAACACACTTGACTGCTTTGCTTCCTCCATCTCTTCCACCCTTTTTTCTTTGCTCACAATCTTTATTGCTTATGCGTATGTCACTCTCTGCTCTGCCCTGACTTGTTGAATTTCAACAGCCTGTTTCCTCACTGTACACCCTCCATAAGCCGCTGTATGATTTCCTCCACAGTTACAACATTTAACTGGGTTGTTGTTTCCACATTTCCCATACAGATGCTCCCCTCCACATCTCCCACACCTCTGCTTTCCCCTACACACTGTGGCGACGTGGCCATATCTCTGGCACTTGTAACACCTGATAGGAGGCTGAACATATGCTCTTACATTAAAACTCATATATCCTATCATGACCTTATCTGGTAGAAATTGATCTTTAAATTCTAGCATCACTGACATGCTGTCAACTTTCACCCCATCTCTGAATGCCTGCAGGCGCTTAATTTCTTTAACAGATCCTCCCTTGATCATTTTTTTTAACTCCTCTAGGTTTTCTCCCAAGGGTATTCCTGAGATCACTCCTTTGGCGCCGATCTCCCTTCCAACTACTTTCCTCTCAGCAACTTCTTTTTCACATACCCTTTGTAGCTTGAGCGCCTTATCCCTTTGTCCTGCTCTTGCATTTCAAAAACAGGCTGCCGTCTCTTAAGACTTTCGCTACTTCAATATCTCCAAGTGCTTTCCTCAAACAATTCGTCAGCGTGATCGGACTCACCGATGATATCTCTTGTCCTGTCTTGAATTTCATAATTACTTTAAACTCCTCTGTCATGTGTTTTTTCCGCATATCATTTCTTTCCTCATCATCAGTAAGAGCGTTTACTAGATGACATTTTCATACTACTGCTCTCCTTTCCACCTGTCTTCCTCTGACTCTGAACTGTTTTCCATATCTCCATATCCTCCTCATCAGACCCACCACCACTACTACTTGCCATTCTGCTCCAGTCACAGTCCAGATTATGCCAAAAACCACCGATTTTCTCCGGCATTGCTGTCAACAAACACCAAATTTTCGTTTAGTTTCACTGTATTCTCCCTCCTGTGACTCCTCTCAGTTCTTCCAGCCGTCCCTTCAGAAATAAAGTTACTCTTTCCTAGCCAGACACACAGCCGTGTCTCTATCTGCACAGAAAACGTAGCAGTGGAGCTGCGCGCAGGGTTGCCAGATATTAGACCGCAAGGGCAATGTGGGAAACACTGGGCTTTAAATACACAAGGGCTGATTACTAACCACACACAGGTGAGTGGGACAAGACACAGGTGAAACACATGAGGTGATTAATAAAGGCGGGAAAACTCAGGACGTAAAAGGAGCACTAACACAATGAAAACAGATTTCAAAATAAAACAGGAAGTGAACACAAACTTGAACATAAACTAGACAGAATGACACAAATTAAAGACTGCAACAGCCTTTTACATGTGTTAGCTGTGAAAACCATCACAGTAGCTTCTCTCCATAGTTAATCTGATGGACTGGTGATAAATGTCTTTCATGGCAGTTGACATTCTTCAAGTTGCATTACTGCCTCCTACTGATTTTATCCGACCACTGCTGTCCTAGTCTTTACAGTTTTCTGCAGTCCTGTAACTTTCAGAAACATAAATAACATCTTTCTCCTCTCCACCGTGTCTCCACTCTCAAACACGTCCTTAATCCTGGCCTCCTGCCATCATCACCCTACTTTCTTCCTCATATTTCCTGCAAGAAATAAGAATATGCTCCACTGACTCCTTTACACTGACTACAGTAACCCGTTGGATGTTTCCCTGATACAAAAAGTGTGCTTTTGTCTCCCCTGTCTCCCCTCCCATTACTCTCTCCTACTCTGTAAACAACGTTAACAGAAGTTCTTTTAAGTTTGATTTCAGTATGATGATTTGTTAATGTACAAATAATTTCAGGAACACTCCTCCTTCTTTAATCAACAGTCTGAAGACATTCAGTCTTCTCACAAAGATAACTGTAGTTTACATCTGCAATTGTTTCCACACATCTATTCTAGAAGCTGAAGAATGTGACACCTACTCATCCTATACGGGACACTATGGGTGTCAAAACACTGGGTACATTTCAGTAAACAACTGGGAAAACTCCAAGGCAACAGAGGTTTATTATGCATTGAAAACAATTAAACTTACAATAGACAGAGCACTTAAGATACACAGATGAAAATACTGTGAATATGTCATGCAAGAATAACGGCAAAGTAGGGACTGATTCAGACCCGGAGCACACACCTGAGTATGCACCACGTCACGTGTGTTTATGAGGACACAAAGTGTGCAGGGCAGAGTTAAAAACAACAGCAACTTTCCTCCACTTCTGTCAGCAGGGAAACACATGAAACAGGATGGACATTCAGTTTTAGCTATTGGGGGGGAATGCTACTTAAGCTGAAATCTGTGCACAGCAGCACTCAGTGGTTGACACAGAATTTTACTTCCTGTTGTATTGGAAAGTCTAACAAGCATGTGTATAATCATGCACATACATCTCTGGATGTCAGCAAGACTTTAATGTGAAAAAACTAAAAAAATGCATTGAATGAAAAAAACAATTGAAATAATAAAGAAAAAATGTTGAAAATCAAACATATCAGAAAACGACACAATGAACAGTAGTCAGCCCAGTCGCCAGAAGAAAATGTCTGCATTGTATGTTTCTGCAAACCATGAATACATTATACGTGTTACATATCATATCAGTGTTTCTAAAGTGACACAGTTCTGATCAAATGTATATTAGCTGACGTCGTCCCTGGTAGGTGGAGCTGATAGTGGATGCCATGACACCTAGGTGAAACGGATGCCAACCTGCTGACTACTGTTCAAGACCAACAAACTTCTGCAGTGGCAATAGACCTTTTTCACAGCAGATGTTTTGACGTGTCATAGTAGGAAAAGCACAGGGGAAACTGATAACATTAACGGTGGCTCAGTTCCATTAAGTGTCCTAGTAAGCCGTTCAACATGTATGTACAGCATGTCAAAATGTCTGCAGTGAAAAAAGTCTATTGTGGCACCAAAACTGTGCATTTTAAAACCAAAACATGATCTTTTCCGAACCGTAACCAAGCATTTTTTGTGCCGAAACATAACCACAGTATTACTGGAACATAAATAAACGTAAAGTTTCGATATATCCGCTACAAAATAATGTGCAAATGTTACATATCTGTGGTTTGCAGAGGTGTACTATGCCAACAATTATTCTGGCTAATGGATTTAACACAGTAGCAGTAAACACACCCTCACGTACATATACATTTGATGACTTGTCATTCCCAGCCGCAATAAAAATGACAACAAAAAATAACATGTAATGACTAATGGTTCAAAGTGGACACAGTCTGCATCTCTCCTCTCTGTCTTCCGTCTCTCTTTTGTTATCAGCATTCCATCACCTTTAGCCTGTCTTCTACTCAGCCTTGTCCAAGTCCTCAGAGACTGATGGTGCATCTTTCTGTTTGAATACAGCAGATATGCAAAATTACACACATCATAATTCCAGCAAGGCATTTGAAAGAAAATGTTTGATCAGTGAAACACATAGCAGGCACGCCTAGGATCACCCAGGATGTTGGTTTGGGTTGTTTTGGCTGTTTAGCAGACTGTTTGTGTCTTTGTAGTCCTAATAGCCATATAAAGGCTACAAAGACACCTCGATAAGAAAAGAGATATACAGAAATAAATACAAGCATTTCACAGTTATTAAAGTGGTTCCTCGTACTATGCATTGTTGCTTTGGTGTTTAAACTAACTCACCACAGTTCCTCCTTCACTGTGCTTATTGAAAGAACAGGTCAGCCATTTCACGTATTCCTCTCTAACCTAGAGAGTACAATGAAAGACTCACTTTAGATTTTATGTATTAATGTAACTAAACAGAAAGACAGCTGTGTGTGTAATTGCTGACATTGTTAGTAGTAGTGCAGAGAAAGTCATCTGTGTAAAGTGTGTACCTCCTTGTTGAGCAGACAGTGGACGATGAAGAGGAAGGTGCCCTGCTGGGAGTTAAGAATTATAAAGAGGACCTGGAAGAAAAGGTTTGACTGGTACAGGCCCAAGATCCAGGTGCAGCCCAGTATGACAAACTGGGCTACTATCTTGAACAAAATCAACCTGTAAACAATGAGAATTTAGTGAGTTTTAATTTCAAGAATGTATGACTCTTTAAAGGTCCAGTGTGTAAGACTTAAGGGGATTTAGTGGCATCTAGTGGTGAGGATTGCAGATTGCAAGCAGTTGTAACTTCTCCTGCTTAGAATTCCTTCAGTGTTCATCGTTCAGGAGGTTTTTACTGGGAGCAGAATTATCCGCAGAGGTCTCTTCATCTGCGAAATAATAGGATCCAGTGACTTAGACCATTAAAAACACTGAATAAACCAGTTTCACTTTACAAATCAGTGTTTTTCCAATGCTGTTTGGCGTGTTGGAGACGGGCCGCTAACCTAGTACCAGGAGTTGAATTATCCACAGAGGACTTTTCCTCTAGAGCTTAGATCGGGCCCAAAAAATCCAGCCCGACCCCACCCGAACCCGTGCATGTTCTGTCCGAGCCTGACCCGGCCCGTCCCTTTAACTGTAATTATGAGCCCGCGCTCGGTTTAAACCCGACATTTTTTTCAGGATACGAATGTGGACATTGAAGGCTGACTCTCGTCTTTCTTTCCATGGCAAGCCTTCGTCATGTGCCTCTTAAGTGTCGAGGTCCCCTTCTTTTTGCTGTCATATAGGCTACTAGCATCGTGCTGCACTTGGTACACTCGACGAAGCCGAAACACATGTTGTCACCACCGACACATTACATGTGCGCGGCCAGTGGGGCTGGGTTCGGGCTTGGGCAGAGAATCTAAGCTCTACTTTCCTCTCCAAAACAAATGGACCCAGTGATTTAAACCGGTGAAAGCACTGATTAATGTTTTATATTTAAAAAATCTGAGGTATGGCGGTGCAACATGGCGATCTCTGTAAATGAGGACACACTTCATATGTAGATATAAGTGTCTCATTCTAAGATAAGACAACATAATGATTCTTACTTTCAGGTGTTCAAGCACTAAAGAAAACATACTTATTATCTTACATTTCTGTCAATATATACCCCTAAATCCTGCACACTGGACCTTTAAAGAGAGATGGACACTATGTACATTTTTAAACACTTTGTGATATACATTTTGTCAGCTTAGAAAGGGTGAGCATAATTAGTGTAGTCTGTATAAATTTAAATAAGAATATCAAATTGGCTATCTGCATAAGTCTATCAAATGCGATCAGATTGACACCACGTAGAGTCTGTGATATATTGTTACACTGTATGTACACTATGTATGAAAAGTCACATTGAACTTTCAGAATTTTTCAGATTTTATTTCATTTTCATGCAAAGATAACCTTTATCACTCATACCTGGTGTCTCTGGACTGAGAAATATCACTTTTCATGTTGGCCAGGGTGGGTCTCAGACTCCATAGAGTAGCACAGAACAATATCCAATTCAGCTGAAGGAAAGAAAGACACAGAGGCTGAGCTGCAGAAGAACATATAACCTCCATAGAAACCTTAAATACTGCTAGTAATGTGCCATTTTGAAGAATATGTAGCAATGCTGTCTACTATGAATTCTGTTTGTATGTTACTAAATAACATAATTGCTGTAGTCACTACGAGTGGATAGTGTCTTGCAAGATTGCCTATTTTGGCGGAAAACAACTGAAATATGCTTTCAGTGCTGATGTGTTCAGTGTCGTTTTTGCAAACTGCCAGATACATTCATGAGCCAAATTTCCTCATGACGTTAATAGAAAATATAATATGTGGATGATAATAGAACATGCATTATGTCTCCCTGAAAACATATATATACATAACAATCTGCTGTTTATAATTAGTTGTGTATAAACCTGATTTCTAGGAGACAGGGCTGTGAATAGAGGCCCAATACAGATATTGTCAAAAGTAGGAAAGCCTTGACCTCTTTAGTGTGTGCTAATGGTATTGGGTTGCCTGTAACAGATGTAAAACAAAGACAGTAATGTGTCTTCAAGAGAATTTCTTTGATTTGAGTTGAGGCCAATGGTGAAGAAACACAGGAGGAGAACCAATAATGGGACAAGGCCTGTAAATGTCTGTAAACATTCAAGCAGAAGATAAGCTTGTCTTTGCTGTAAATCCAGCAGGACGTTGAGTAAGCTTCTTGACTCACCTTTAACATGGCCAGGAATAATATTTTGCCAAAAATTAGTTAAAGTGCATGTTACCTTGATTTTCAATTAGCTAAAAACGGTGCCTGACAAATTAAATTGGAGAATAAACCTGACTGAGCTGATTCATTTTTTGTTAAAATAGATGTGATGTATCTGCTAATGTGCAATATACTCACAGCAAGGATAGCAATCACAGGGCCTGTTAAGGCCCAGTTGAAATGGCGCTGTCTTGAGAGCCAGCACCTGTAGCAGAATCAAACACTTTCAACCTGGATGCACATCAGACATACAGGAGAATATGAATGAGTGTATTACTGTTTATCTTACTCACACCTCTGCCTCAGTAGCACCATATCCATCAGAATATACCAGTGCAGAAACACCCACAATCACAAATGGAACGCCGTAGCCAATCAGGTAGAGAACTAGCCTGGGGAGGCCATCTCTCTGGATGACCTGCACCTTAGTGAGCCTCCGGACCAACAGGTGGAGCTGAAACGCCTCCAGCAGCATCCACACAAAACCTGCTATAACTAAGAAGTGAAGAAGCCCCGCCATGACGGTGCAGGCTAGCTGTGGAGACAGAAGAAGTACAATATTGTAACCCTAGTTCTATTGGAACAGGCATAGCCCTCTCCTGTAGACTACGGGTTAAACTCTCCTTCAAGGACATGCCTACCTGAATAAGTGCAGACCAAACAGTATATAACAACACACTCGCCATTTTCTGCTATTCTAAACCCTCTTCAGCAAGAGGCATAGGAGTGGCAGGGCCCCTGAGGTGAGGGCTCTGCCTGTGCTAATAGAACTAGGGTTACAATAACGTAACCTATGCTCCGAACATTAAATGCTTCTGATAACTCAGCAAAGAGTGGTTCAGTTGGGTCACATTTAATCCATGTGTGACAGATCCAGTTCAGTATTTAAGTCTAAAGCAAAAACAAAAACAACTCCATCTTTGATTACTGTACCTCTTGTTCAACATATTTGTCGTTCCACAGCAGCAGCAGATGGGAGAAGAAGAGGTTGAGGCAGAGGTGAAGACGGGCTGTGTTGTTGATCTTGGGGTTCCAGCTACACAGGAGGAAGGTGAAGATGGCCAAACCAAAGAAGAATAGTCCAACAATCACACACATTCGGTTTAGCCACTCCAGGAAGGGATCCTCTGGTGGAGGCTGAGAAGATACAACACACAGGCAAACACATACTGTCATCAATCTGACCTGTGTGTGGGAACTTGTTTTAGCAAATGCACATTTGCATATGATACCTCTCCAATCTGCATGATGAGGGCGAATGTGGATAGATGGGAGCAGCTGCACACTGTGTAGTTTTCATTGGTGTATGCAACCCAACAGCCCTCCACCGACCAGCGCATTGTCCTCTTCTTTTCTGTTCCTGTTTCACTTTCTTCTCCAATTCCTGCCTCCTCTGTTTTGTCCTCCCAATACACACAGGTCACCAAACCAGACTCAGGTACTGTCTGATGAAAGCAGAGCAACAAAGATTTTTTTAGATATGTTGTAAGACAGCAAGCTGTATGTTATCTTAAAAAGTAGATGTAGAGATAACTTGGATAGCACCTTCTTGTGATGGATGGTAAAGTTGACGGGCTCGGTGAGGTTGGTGTGGTTCATCGAAGGTAAGACTGCAGTGATAACATCCGAGTACATCTCTGTCTGGTTTTCTGTTTCAAAGTATTGATGACTAAGAAGACTCTCCATCCCAGTTAGTGTCAAGAAGACAGCTGCTGCAGAACCTGGGAATGTCCACAGAGTGCAGGTGATCAGTGCTTTTAAACACACTGCCTGTTTTTGTATATTTAAAGTAGGTAAAAGGAACAGTTCACCCCAAATCAAAAAGACCTGTTTTTCCTCTTACCTGTAGTGTTATTTATCAATCAAGTGTTGGCAGATACCAGCTGCAGACAAGTCTGCCTTCACTCAAATAAAGTAGAACCAGATAGCACTTGGTTTGTGGTGCTCAAAGCGCCAAAAAAATACATTTGAAAAACTCAACAGCAATGTCTCTTTCCAGAAATCATGACCAAGAGAATCCTCAGCTGTCGCTGTGAGCGGTTTCATGTAGGAACTACTTTCTGTACACCAAGCTACAACCACCAAGTGTATCACTGTGCAGAAGCTAGATAATGTTACAGCTCAGCCAAGGAGGACGACGAGTGTATATCTTGCACTGTCACAGAACGAGTCCCTCAGCCATGAGTGTGCATCTTCTGCATAGTGATACAATTGGCAAGTGTAGTTTGGTTAACAGAAAATAGTTCCTACATGTAAGTACGAATGCTAAACTGGCCAAAATGAATTTCCTCCATGGGGTGGCTGAGCTCAGCCATAGAGATAGGGTAAGGAGCCCGGACATCTGGAGGGAGCTCGGACTAGAGCTGCTGCTCCTTCACAACAAAAAGGGTCAGTTGAGATAGTTTGGGCATCTGATCAGGATGCCTCCTTGGCACCTTCCGTTTAAAGTGTTCCCGGCACGTCCCACTGGTAGGAGGGCCCCGGGGCAGACTCAGTACATACTGGAGGGATTACATATCTCATCTGGTCTCGTAACGCCTCGGGGTCCCCAAAGAGGAGCTGGAAAGGGTTGCTGGGGAATGTGACGTCTAAGACGCTTTGTTTGGCCTACTGCCCCCACCACCCAGGCCCGGACTTGCGGATGAAAATGGATGGATGGATGGATGGATGGATGGATGGATGGATGTAACTGCTGACAACAAGGTCTGTGGATTATCTTGAGTAACCAGGTCATGATTTCTGTAAAGAGACATTGCTGTTGAGTTTTTCAAATGTATTTTTTGGCGCTTTGAGCACCAGAAGCCGAGTGCCATCTAATTCCATTACATTCGAGAGAAGGCAGACATCTCTATGGCAGATATCGCCAACACTCGGCGACTCACACCAAAACAAACCCCACTGATAAATGGCAGTACAGGTAAGATGGATAACATGCATGGTTTAATTTTGGGTGAACTATTTCTTTAACCCTGTGCATTTGTTGCACACACAGATGCAAAATTACAAGGTATGATTCCTTTCAAACATATATATACAGAAGTTTGGAAATGCCATCTTATTTTCACTTTGAGCTTTTTCTCACCATTGTTATTTTTGGCCAAACTGTTCAGGTTGATCTCCATGGTGTTTCCATTGGCTGACAGGGAAGAGCTCTCTGCGCTGTCACTTCCAGGTCCGATAGTTTCGAGACTTAGATCTAACACACAGGTTGGCATTACAACAGCCTAATTTCATATCCACCACGTAAACATACAGTGAACTAAGATGAACATGTCTTACCCACTGTTGGACTCTTGACAGTTCTCTTGGTGTTGTTCCGACCTGGCTCTACTATTGCAGATGCTAAACGGTCTGAGATGCCCAGGATCACACTGCCTACCTCCCCGTCTCCTTTGCTACTCACCTTGCTTGACCTGACCCGCGGTCCCACACCTGACACTTCCTACGAGAATTAAGATATCTCAGTAATTGACCTGCCTGATGATTAAAGCACTGAAGACTGCACAGTTAAAGTGACATCAGGTATTTATGGAACAGCAGGTACCATAGATGCTGAGAAGCTGTTGGTCACAGTCTGTAGAGAAAGCACAAGAAAGAGAGCAAGGTAGAGAATTATATAACTGCAGGGCAGTCACTCACACACAATGTGCATCAGACTTAAACTGAATTTTAATCAATTTCCAGTTCATGTAGAATTTCCTCTGCCCACGTTGAAACATTACTGTAACTTAGTACTTAGTATAGAATTCCTCATTTTAAAGGGACAGTTCAAAATAAAAAATAAATATTTTTCCTATTGCGTGCAGTTCTTTCTTTCAATCTAAATTGTTTTGGTGTGAGTCGCAGAGTGTTGGAAGTATCAGTTATCGTTGTCTGCCATCTCTTGAGACATACATCTCTCTGAAAATGGATGGATGTAACTGCTGATGACAAGGTCTCTGGATTATCTTGGGTAACCGCATCATGATTTCTGAAAAGAGACATTGCTGTTGAGTTTTTCAAATGTAATTTTTTGGCGCTTTGAGCACCACAAGGCGAGTGCCATCTGGTTCTATTAGATTTGAGAGAAGGCAGCCATCTGGACAGCTCCAACATTCGATTACTGCCACCAAAACATTCAAGATTGATAAATATCACCACGGGTAAACGTAAAAATATGTACTTTTGATTTTGAGGTGATCTGACTTTTTAGAAATCCAATTAAAATTGAAAGACTGTGCAGCGATAGTCCCCTTTTCAGCTATTTCGACCACATCTACAGAGACTGTATTCATTTAAGAGTCAAATAAATAGTGATATTCTAAATGTCGGATTTTAGGACTGCTAAAATAACCTTCTGTGTGGATCATTATTGCAGCGAATGATCTGGAATTAAATCAATTTAAGCTTTGTAGGAGAGTGCGCATCACTCTTTGTGTTCTACTCACTGGTACTGGTAAGATCATGCCTTCATTGTCTTTCAGTTGTTGGTCCATGTTGCCAAGGAAAGCTCTTTCTTTTGTCTGTCCCTGCAACAAATACACAAACATAGCTTCAACTTTAATGTTGTATGCTTAGATGCAGTTTGCAGTGTATAGTATTTAAACTTTGGCCTGTTTTGGCAAAAGATAGCAATGTTTGTGCAGCATGGAATATCGCAACATTTTCACATTCTGTATGTGGCACAGGCTAGCTGTATACCAGTGGCGGCTGCTGGTCTTTCAAACAGGGGAAGTTTACATCATAAAATTTATCATATTGTAGCGAGGCAGTAACTTATAAAAGGAACATTTAATTGAAGCCGTTTTTCAACCACACTCATGCCATAGAAGCACAGCAAAACACACCTCAACGATTTTCAGACGGGTTTACAAACGGTGAAATTGACCTACATAGCTTATGGAAATAAGGAACTCTGGACGGCACTCTGTCAGAAGACTCCACTCGCAAATATCTGCTTAGGACTGAGCTCGAAATGCGAAGCGCTGTCAATCACTAAGGGGTTCAGCCTTTTAGACAATTACTCCAATCATCATGCAGACACCGAGCGTCCTCTCCCGCCTACCGCTCCATTAGGTCCCAGGGAAGCTGAGCCTCCCTGGAAGTGACAAATTTGTCGCATTTATCCAGCGCTGTCTCATAGGAATGCTTGGAGGCTCTGCGTCCACTGTGCTGACACGAGAATGTATGACAGGGAGGTCGCGTTTGAAAACTGGTGATAAAGTCATGATGTTAAACACATCCTAGCGCACCTTTAATGCAATGTAAATTCTTATTTTAATGTAAAGTCAATAGTGCATATTTGACCATTTCTTCTATGAAATTTTAGGGGCAGTTCAGCCTCCCTTGTTATCTCAGAGCAATAGCCCCTGCTGTATACCCTTCTAAAATCACTGTTACATACTAAATGGGGAAAACACAAAGGTACCACTATTAACAAGTAACAAGTGTCAGGCTAACGAACTTCTTTAGTGAGTAACTTGGATCAGTTCACAAGATGAAGCAGCAAAACCTAAGCAAAACCACACGTTTGTTCTTTCCTTAACGGTGCCTATTTGCTGGTGATATTTACCTCTGGGGGTTGAATCTCGTCTAAAATGTCCTGAAGACCTGATGAGTCAATGTAGAAGAAAAGAGCACAGTCACTGAACACATCAGGATATGGCACTGTGCTGTAGACACTGTAACAAATTGCATCCCAAGCTCACTTTGACAAAATGAGACCCCTAATATCCACAGGATTCCAGTTGAAGGGTAGAATCCATCAGGACAAGAACAATAGAAGGTCCCCGGTTCATTAGTGCACACTGTTTGTTTACCACATATACCAGGTGTCTCACTGCACTCGTCTATATCTGTAGAGGAGAGACAGAGGTACAGTTAAACACATTATAGTAAAACACATGATAGTCACACTAATAGTGAACATGTGCACACACCTGTGCATGGGTTAGCAATGCTGGCTATCACATTTGGGTTGTTCAGCCGATAACCAGGGAAGCAGGTGCAGATGTAAGAGCCGATTGAGTTTGTGCAGTTAGCATCAGGACCACAGATGGCGGCATTTTCGACACACTCATCAACATCTGCCAAACACATGACACACAAATGAAAGAGTTGCAGCTGAGTAGCAGTTTTCCATCTGATCCTAGATGGTGAAATCATCTGGAACCGGAAAAATAATCAAGTTAAGTACCAATACAGATGTTTTCTTCGCTGGGGTCCTGGTCTGGTAGAGTTGGCGCGTACCCCAGTTGACATGCACAGGTGTGTGCTCCAGGTGTGTTGGTGCAGTCAGAGTCAGGCCCACAGACGGTGGAGTTGAAACACTCGTCGATATCTGAGAAAGGAACAGTTAATGCAGGTGGCATGATGGTTTTAAAAATACAAGAATAAATGTGAAAAGGAAATTTTAGTCCAACTGTAGTTCTCCCTGTTTCCGCTGTGTCTCCTCCTCCCCTGTGTGTGTGCTGTGGGCACGGCACCGTCATCAGGCACCTGTTGGACCTCAACAGCTACGTGCAATGGCCTCATCCACCCCCAGCTTAAGAAGCCAGCTCTCCAGGCATGCAGAGCCAGATTGTTCTGCCAGCTATGTGGTGCACTTGCGGCCGCTCAGTATACTGTGTGTTATTGAGAGAATTCAGTGTTTTTCCCTTGTGCATCTTAATCTAACATCTCTTCTCCTGTGCCGACATCTCCACAACCAGCCACTTACAAACACTGCTGCTGCTCATTCCTCCACGCGCCCACCCAGCTCATCTGCCTGCCTGATTTATTGCCCTCTCCAGTAAATTTAATAAATCTTCTTACTTTGTGTAACTACCTGTGGTGCCAGGGTCTGCATTTGGGTCCAAAAACAACTGCCTTAACAGTTTATATTTGTATTCCAGTTACCTGGTGATAGTTTTTTTGCGTAGCATCCAAGCAATGCCTGAAACAACTTGCTATTTACTTGTTTTACAGATGATATTAGAGTTTTGACAAACTTTTTGGCAGCATAATATTTAGAATTACATCTGGTAATAGCGGTCATAAAGAACTTGAGATACAGCTAGTCTTGATCATGCAGTGATTTGTAACATGTCTGTAAACAGACCTTGGCAAACAGGAGTTGCTTCAGGCACAAGGTGGTAGCCGTCATGGCATTCACACTTATAACTTCCTGGATTGTTGTGACAGGTCCCATCATCTCCACAGACATTGTCAAGACACTCGTCAATATCTACAAAGGAAAAGGAAAGGTCATTGCAGCTCAGGATTGACAGTGAGACAGCGTATTCTTTAAAAATGGTACCTATGCATGGGTTGGAGCCTCCAGGTGGTAATGCTGGATCTGTTGCATTGAATCCGTCCAGACAGGTACAGAAGTGTGATCCAATGGTGTTGTTACATTTGGAGTCAGGACCACAAATTTCTGCATTTTTCTGGCACTCATTGATGTCTGACAAGAGATGTTAAAGACAGGAGTTAAAGGTATAGTGTGTAGGATTTAATGGCACCCAGTGTTGAAATTGCAGAACTGAGGTCATGTTTACACAAAAACGATCAGGTGAAAATGGAATCATTTCTCATTTTCATTTTGAAAAAAGTTCCGCGTTCAGACGACAACGTTTTGCACATGTGCACACGGATCCGCAAAAATTACCAAAAAGTTGTAGTTTACATGCCAGGCCAGTAGTTGGCGGAGTGACTTTGTCATGAAAACAACACGCGCCTGCGCACATGTGCTTCCTTTTACAGAGCGGTGATGTATAATCAAACAAAATGGCAACTGCATGAACGTTTGTCGTGACGGACGATGAGGTGGAGTTGCTACAGGAAATCTACACTTTGCTGGAGAAGCGTTGATAAATTCAATTGGATGTGCACAACAAACAGAGCTCGGGAGTCCGCCATTGTTGTTGTGATGGTAGACTTTCTCGCACATGCCTAATGTGTATGTGTGAAAGGCGGTAAGTTTACATGACAACAGAGACGGTGCTGTTTCCAAGGCACCCAAAACGCCGCTGTTGTGTAAAGAATCAGCCAAAGCACGACTAAAGTTACCGTTTTCGGTTGAAATCATTGTCGTATAAACAGGACCTAAAACTTCTCCTGTGTGCCAAGCATGCAAGAACACTACAGTGGCTGACACGAAAATGCAAATGGCACCCATCTAGAGCTAGTGTTTGATTTGTCTGTTCTAAGCTACTGTAGAACAACATGACGGACACTGTGGGAGAAGACTCGCTCCATATGTAGCATAAGATGTATAAGGAGAACTGGATGCAACGTTGGAGGTGTGGCCCCATGCGTTCCCCTGAAAGTTGCTCAGTGGCACATGAAGCTTAAAAAAAATCTTGATTTCTGTGGTATGAAATCACCTAGATCTTCTGCACCATGGGACCCATAGAGCAAGCGCACTAGAGACTTATGGTGACCGAGCAGATAAATTTGGGTTTAGCCCTCTGCTAACTCGAATGGGAATAAGATGGTTTTAATCTTGCGGCTCTCCTAGACTTTCCAAATGTTATCGGCAGCTATATCCAACACACTGGACCTTCAAAGGCAGGAATATGTAGACTGAAAGTGTGCAAAATAAAATAAAATAAAATAAAATAAAGAAAATTACACAGTCATTATAAATGCTGTTGTTATTTCCCATGGTTCAGATGGAATATATGTCCTTACTTACCAACACAACCATATGAATCTGGAGTGGGTAGGTGATCTGGGGGGATTTCATACCCAGAGACACATGTGCAGCCTCCATTACTCGAGCACTCAGCAAGTGGTCCACAGGAGTCTGGTTCACACGTATGATGATCTAAACACACACACACACACACACACACACACACACACACACACACACACACGTACACAAACACAAATAGTATTCGTGGTAAAAAGATAAAAGTATTGGTCTCCTTAGCTGCAGTTTGAAGGACATGTCTACATGTCTACATTAAAATATAATGCAAAGGATGACAGTGATGGGTCATTACTTACAGGTTGCATAAACCATATAGGGGTATGGGTGACTTGCTGGTTTGTGAATGTAGAATCCTCCAGGACAGAGGGCCACGCTGAGTGAAATAGAATAAACATTACACCCTCCAACATCACCATATGCAGTCCCTGTTGTTGGAGTTTCAGATTCAGTTGTTGGATATGAAAATGAAACACGAATGGAGTAGTGAGAACCAGCAAGGGGGCCTGAATGGCATTGTGAAGTGACTCTGTCTCCTCCAATCCCTGTGAAGCGCCACCACTTCCCAACAAAATGTCCATCATTCTTCGGGAAGCCGGGAAAGGAAGACGATGTGAATGCGAAGTTGCGCCATGCATCAGTTATGTTCGTGTATCCATCACAGGAACCTGCGAGGACCAGCAAAACATTCTATGTCAATAACAGTCAACAAAAATGACTTGTTTTTTTCACCTAGAACCAGAATCTGTATCTAATGTTTACAGGTAAACGTCATTCATACCAGGAGGAAAAACACAACGGCCAAGGGTGAAGAGGGAACCTATAAAGGACAGAGACAAAGAAGAGCTTTTTTTAATGCTTCTTTAAAAGTCAATACATGATCTAAAAAATGATTAAATGGAAAATTGCATGAAATCTATACGCAAGACTGTCACAGAAATTAACTCATGCTAACTGGTGCTGATAATATTGACAAGATGTATTATTAAATGGTATGTAAAAGTGTTTTTTACAACAACATACTGTAAATTCTGCATTTTGTGGTTCATATTCAGCAAAACAAAATATAATCCTGTATTTGATTGAGGAAGAAACTACATGTATCCTAACTGTCTGTCACTCTGAAGGCAGATCTGAATCTAGATACAGATAATTACAAAAAATATTGTACAGTCTTAGCAGGTTATACTAAGACTACACTCTACGTATTCTCTAGTTTAATATAATGTAATAATTCACACATTATCAGCTACATAAAAGATGAATTAACTCACCCAGGAGGAGTGAAAAGGCACAGCACTTCATCATGACATGTCAGACTCCACAAACCATCACTCACCACTGTGTAAGGTACGTGTACGCACATTTTGGACATTTGCACAGCACCCAAAAACTGTTTTCACAAGGTTTGGCACCAATGCAAAAATCAATGCAAATTCATGTACGGCTCACATTAAGACGTGAGGAGGGAACAGAGCTGTGAGAGGCATACTGCAATGTATTAAAAATTCACCATCTGCTTAGTAGTAAGAGGATCATCACCCCAAACAATATTTCAAATGTGCTAAAATGCATGTGCAGATTATGAGACACTGGGTCCAGGGGCACAGGCACGCAGAAGGCTCCAGCACCCTCCTACACAGGAGTAAGACACAGACTTCATAGTTGTTTAGCCTCTTTTTGGGGTTGTTTTCGCCCCTTTAGACGTCAAACTGCACCCCTTTGCATTTTTTGTGTGTCCATTTTTGGCCATTTTGCATCTCCTTGTTGTCATTTAGTGTCTCCTTGGGGATGTTTTGCCCTTTTCTGTAGGCATCATGAGTGTCCTTGTGGCACTTTGCAGCTTTTTTGCATCTCTTTGTAGTCGTTTGGCGTCTTTTTCTAGTGTTTTGTGCCTTGTTTTCGTTGCTTTATGTTTGTGGATGTTATGAGTCTTTCTGGTTAGTGTCTCTTGGAGTGACATTTTGCAGGTGAGAGCCAGAGGGGCCTCCTGACACTTTGGGCTCCTGGACTTATGTCTGGTAGGCCAATTCAGTGATCCGTCCATGCTAAAAAGGTCTTAAGAACACGTTTTAGATTGAGTAAAGGCACATACTTAGCAGTTAGTTAAAGTTTCAACAGAAAGACGGGCTACTGAGCATGTGAAGAGATTGAGAAAACAAGAGCACATGTCATCATATCCTTTCAGTTATAGTCTAGAATGTTTACTATTTCAGATCAGCCATTGTGTACATTAACTATTCCTTTAAACCAACACATTACCTGCAGGCTATAAGCATGATAAAAATGTTTTAGCTTCAGAATTCCATACTTTCTACTGTCTTTTGTGTGGTATTTTCTTTTCCTTTTTGTTTTGAATTCCAATTATTTACTTGTTGTGGGAATAATGTTTATTATTTTAGCATATTAACAGAACACATCGATGTATTAATGTCTATAAATAGAAAGCAAAATGCTCAATCCATTTTTAAATAAATTTTTTATGATACTAATGAATTCCCCACAAAAATCATGACAACTGTTTTTTGTTACCTTGAATTGATTTTTGTCAAGCCAAATCATAACCACAAAATGTTAAATGTGTGTTTATGGGAATTATTTCACAAAGTAAGGTTGGTGGACAAAGTAAAGGCATAGAGACACATGGTCATATTCTTTTTTGATATTCTGGCATAAAAATCAAATGGAAAAGTCTCTATACTACTCCTTTGCTGCTGACAGAGTCACCATTTCTCAGTGGTTGTAAATACAGTTTGTGTGTGCTGAACATTTATAAATGTGTCATATAGTTCACAACAGGTGAAACACTTCAGGAGAAAGTGTGCATGCCTCACGTGTCATGTCAATTTGTCTTGTAAAACTGTAACATGGCAGTGCACCTACAGTCGGCTGTATGTAAATAACTAACAAATCCCTGTAAAAACAAATGGAGAAAGAAAGGTTTTAAGGCAGCAGCTAGGTATTGTGTTAACATCTTGCTGGGCTGCTTTTGTTTACTTCAGACATACTTAAAAACATAATTTCTTGAGAACACCTTATTTAGAGATGATCACTGCTGGCTATTACAATGTAACTATGTAAATTATATTCAGAATAGACTAATGAATTAAATGACAAGTAAAATTATATCACATGTCGCAGGACATTACAAAAAAATATATTAAAAAGTAAATGTGTGGAAATATTTATTGTTATAATATTTCGAATGCAAAGCTATTATCAGGTATTTCTTGACTTCTAGTAAATCACATGTGGGATAAGATTGGATAAGATAAGATAAGATAAGATAAGATAAGATAAGATAAGATATACGTTATTGATCCCCAGAGGGGAAATTCAAGTATCACAGCAGCACCTGACAAAAATACATTAAATAGAATGAGATAAAAGAGAAAAAATAAATTTAAAAAAAATCGGTAAATAAAAGATAAAATGAAAATAAAATTGCTACATCAAGATGAATAAAGTCAATAAAAATGGCAGTGTCGAATAAAATAAAGTGGATGACTGAGTTGTGTGTTTTAACAAAATTGTATTATCATTATTAGTAGTATTTATATTTATTTATTTATTTATTTCATTTTCTTACCTTGGCGCTAGGTGGGGTTGACGCTGACCTGTGACTCATGAGTGTCTACTACCCTCTAGTGGTCACTTTCAGGAACTGCAGCGCTATAATTAAATCAATGTGTTAACATAGTCAGAACTGATATTAATTTAAATACAAATAACTTAGTATCAGTGTGATTATTACAAACAACAACAACAATATCATCAGTATTGGTGATAACTGTTAATAAGGAGTTGTTTTAATGACAACCAAACCTTATTTTAATTGGTTTATTGTTGACCTGAAGCAGTATGGCACTTCACCAACATAAAAGGCAACAAAGACTTTCGGCGTTATAAAGGAAGCACATTTACATTTAATAAGTACATAAATGGGCATGCTCATTGCCCGCATGAGCAGCGGGCTCCTAGGAACCAATGTTCCCACTCTACGTTTCCTGTCGAACGTTTATACAGACGGAACAAGCACGGTGCAACCGGTAAATCAGATGCAGCTCTTTTCTGTTTAAAGTCTTAAAACTCTTCTGTTTGGGTGCACAACTTCTACTTACCTGCGCTTCATTTCACATAAACGCCACGTGAGTTTGAAGCTGTAGTATCCTAGCAACTGTTAGCATTAGCCATAAACTGCGCGGCTTGCTGAGCGTGTTGCTGCTGTTTATGTTAGCATCAGATGCTAATGTGAGCTGTAGACAATACCACTCGATGTAAGATGTTATCAAGCTTTATGCTGCGTTTACTGACTGTTGTACTATTGGCAGGGGTTAATTTTAGTTCGTCAGTGTAGGCTAAGCCAACAAACACAGCTTTAGCTACATCAACACTGTACGGGAAGCTGACTTGGACAAACCCCCACTTGCTAACAACATAGTGATTAATTAGCGCTAAGGCCACTTTGCGTTTTATTTACATTTAACCTGGTCAAGCTTTTGATTAATACAGATCTTCTCTCTTGATAGTGTACCCGACTAACCTAAAGCAACTGTTGATGTGTTGGTAGATCCACAGAGACGACCAATCATGACGTCACTGGTAAGTACTGGCTGTATTCTCAGCTACAAAAGTGTATATCCTCTTAAAGTATCACATAGACAGCATTTTAGTGTCATCCATAAAGATGACATGGGCTGTTGGTACTGCATGTCATTCAAATTATATTGCAGATGGAATAAAACAAAGTGCTGAGACAAAGTACTTCCTCTGAATCTTTTTATCTTGCAGGGGAGCAGCAGTTCCTCAGCCACAGAATACATTGTGCGAGTCCCAAAGTGAGTAACATGGACTGACATGCATGATGAATTGTTTGTATTGTAGGTGTTTGTTTGTATTAAATTAGTCTCTATGTCTGTGACTGTCAGTAGGAATAAGCAGGTAAAGTTAATGAGGTTTGGTTTGTATTTCTGTTTGTCTGTCCTGTAGAAACACCAGCAAGAAGTACAACATCATGGCTTTCAATGCAGGGGACCGAGTCAACTGTTCAACCTGGACACAGGTGGGCTCCATGTCAGTGTGTCTACGCGTGACAGTTAGTTTGAGTCAGTACTGAGAGAGAAATGACCAGCAAAGAACATAAAAATCTGATGTCTGAAATGAATAACTTAGCAGCCACAGTGACCATCTATCAGATTTACATTGCTTAACATGTCCCTCCCTGTCCCCTCCCAGGCTCGTATGGAAAGAGACATGAGTGCTCGGCGGATATATGGGGAGGAGGAGGCGGTGGAAGGCGCAGCTGGCAGTGAGTTTGGCAAAAAGCAGCGTGAGGAAGCGCGGCGGAAGAAGTTTGGTATCGTGACACGTGAGTTCAAAGTGGAGGACCAGCCCTGGATTCTCAAGGTCAATGGCAAGGCCGGCAAGAGGTGGGGAGAAAGATACAACTTTAACCTCTGATTCACTCTCATTTTCAGCAACACATCTCTGTTCATAACCTGCAGAAATATTGAGAGAATTCTTTTGTCAAATTATCTCCATGAGAGTGTATGCAGGCCTGATAGGAGGACAGTTACTGTTACAGCTATTCCCTCCCTCTGTCTGTATACAGGTTCAAAGGTCTGAAGAAAGGCGGTGTTACAGAAAATGCGTCCTACTACATCTTTACACAGTGTCCCGATGGAGCTTTTGAGGCTTTCCCCGTGAACGGCTGGTACAACTTTACACCGCAGGCCAAGCACCGAACTCTCACTGCTGAGGAGGCTGAGGAGGAGTGGGGCCGGTGAGAGAGAGGACGAGTGGTTGTCTGTAGTGAAGGAAAAATAGTAGTTCACTCAGCTGGTGCAGATGTGTCAGACGCTTAATATTCCCCTCATGTTACAGGAGGAACAAGGTGGTGAATCATTTCAGCATCATGCTTCAGAGACGTCTGCGGGAGCAGGAGCGTGGTGAGGAGGATGAAGATGAGAACGAGAAGTCGGGGAAGAAGAAAAAGAAAGGGGGTGGGAGAGGAGGGGACCTGCGCATTCACGACCTGGAGGACGACCTGGAGATGAGCAGCGATGACAGTGACAGCAGTATGGGGGACGGTAAGGAGAAAGAAACAGGAAACAGCCACTTAAACATTATTTTTAGCGTGCAGTGTTCTTTTATTCTGCCATACCTATCCACATTATGCTTCTCTCTGTCACCATGTGATGTTCTTTTTCCTAACACCATCTTCATTGTACAGATGGTGAGAGCAAGACGAAGATGAAGAAAGAGACGGGGAAAGGCAAAGGAAAGAAGAAAAAGAGAAAGAGCAATGACAAAGAGGCCTTGGAGGACAGCGATGACGGTGACTACGAGGGTCTAGAGGTGGATTACATGTCAGATGAAAGCAGGTCAGATCCATCGCCTTGTTGCAGACAAAGACTCCCTCATTATGGACACTCTGTATGTTCTTGTTGGTTGTGTTTCTTCTTTTTACTGGCATGTAATTCTGTTTTCCAAAAACAGCTCAGATGAAGAACCAGAAAAGGGAAAGCCCAGCAAAGGAGAGGACCTCCCTAAAGGTCAGACTGTCTGCAGTTGAACATCACTGATAAAGAAAAAGACACTGATGATTTTATGCATGTTAAATACACACAACAATACAACACAGCATCACTGGGCCTAAAAGTTTGGCTGCTAGGGATGTCTTGCATGTCCGTGTAATGAGAATTCTCACCTGATGAAATTCAGCTTTCAAATTTTCAGCAAATGTCAGTGCATTTCAGCGTTGTTGACTTAATTAGTTGTTTGTCCTTTATAGGGATCGATGAAGCATCTGAAAGCGAGGAAGAGAGTGAGGAGGAAAAACAGAATGAAGAGGAAACAAAAGAGGAGGAAGAAGAAGAGGAGGGAAAGAAAACCCCGGTCCAAATGGAAAAGAAGAAGAAAAAAGGTATAGACATGGAAACAGATGAGGGTTTGACAGTATTCATACTTTAATTAGGTCGTAAGAAACAAGCAGTGTTGAAGGACGCTTCTTCCTGCTTGATGCATAAAGACAAATGAAATTATGTTGGGTTGTTTGGTTCTGTGTGTCACAGACAGCAGCGGCGAGTCGGAAAGCTCAGACGACAGTGATATTGAGGGAGAGACGGCCTCCGCTCTATTCATGGTGATTTGTGTGTGTGTGTGTGTGTGTGTGTGTGTGTACATGGATATTTCTGTACACCAGCAGAGCTCTTACTAATCTGGTGGTGAATGTTTTCATAATTCTGTATTTATATTTTTCCTCGTGTTATTCTTTTTGTTTTCATCAAATGTCTCTTTTTCTTTGCCTCTCTCAGAAAAAGCGCACGCCTCCTAAACGTGGAGGACGTGGCTCCGCAGGCAGCTCCAGGACAGGCAGTCGCCCCGGGACACCATCCATAGACTCTGCCTCCACCTCCAATACACTCCGTGCTGCTGCCAGCAAGCTAGAGCAAGGTGTTTGGTCATACACCATTTAATTGATTGATTAAATGAGACACATGACATATTAAGGGAATTTTGTGAAGCTTGCAAAAGTAGCCATCAGCAGGGAAATTTGAGGTGCTATTTTTGTTACTGCATCTAAATCTATCTTCCCTGCAGGTAAGAGACAGACTCAGGGTCCCAGCACCGACTCGCCAGCGGCCAAACGGCTGAAGTTGGAGCCCAGCAGTCAGAGTCCTGCTCCCTCTGGGAAGAGTACACCTCAGCCGGCATCTGGCAAATCCACTCCGAGCTCAAGGTACTTTGTTCCCAGTCTTCCTTGATGCCTCTAAGAAATGTTACGTTATTTAATTATTCCGTGAGTCTTTCTGAACAGGGTAAAAACGTTCTGCTGTATATTCTTCTACTTCACAGTGATGTGCAGCTAACAGAGGAGGCGGTCCGGCGCTACCTGATCCGTAAACCGATGACCACCAAGGACCTTCTGAAGAAGTTCCAGACCAAGCGCACAGGTTTGAGCAGTGAGCAGACTGTCAACGTGCTGGCACAGATCCTGAAGCGCCTTAATCCGGAGCGCAAGAACGTAAACGACAAAATGCACTTTTACCTCACTGAATAACCGATGGAAGAGAGGTGAGGAGGGGCAGGGGCGGAGAACATGAAGAAGGGAGGGAAAGGCTGAAATGAACCACTACAGTCAGAACCATGATCCCCTGGAAGAGAAGTTTAGGATCAGAAGCTGAAACAAAGGTGGCATTTATCAAAAAGTATTTTGTTAAGCATTGTGGATTTGTTTTTCATACCTCTCACATAATAGAAACTTTGTTAATGTTGAGTGAAAACATCTCAATCTCTATGACTGCAGGATGTAAGTTTCTCTATGTGTGAACAGTTTAACTTAGAAATCAATGAATGAAACAAGTCTTTAACTTGTTATTCTTATGTATTTTCTTTTTCCAATAAAATGTAAAATCCGCTGCTGTGTAAGGCTTTACTTTTTGTACCCCATCCCTCATATACTCTGTTTTTTTTTTGTTGTTGTTGTTTTGGGTTTTTTTTTGTTTGTTTGTTTGTTTTTAATTAACCCAACCACCAACCCAAGTGGGGACTTTTTCTTTTCCTGTTTTTTCTTAATTATTCACCATTTCTTTCTCACTTATTTGCATTTAGAAGTGGAGCTCAGTATACAGTATGCAGGTGGTGACTACATACAACACAACCAATACACAAACCTACAACATCACTCCAGCACAAAAACAGAACCAAACAAACAATGCAAAAACAAAACTAAACAATGTACCTCACACAACACAGGAACAAACTGTCATATGATATAAATTTCATATTGGAATGACGATATTCCAAACTAGCTCAACTGCAGCAAGTGAAAGTTGACAAAAAAAAAGCAGTCTTGAAGAGAAAATAGAGACCAGTCACTGTTTGTCACTTGCTCTCATAAAACAGGCTGTTTTTTCTGTTTTTATAATGATTATACAAACACTACTGCATGGACATTTAGCACAGAGAAAGTCTTTAAGAAAGATGCTTTTAATCTTAATCAGTAATCTGCAAAGATGAAGTAAATTGCAACAAAAAATTCATCTCCTGTATCCTCAGGCAGTGCAAAGAAACTTCCTAGTTCCTTATTTTATTTGTACTAGAGGTGTACTGAATGGATCTAAAGCCTGCAGTATACAGAACATCCATTTTTGTGTAGAATTGTGGGAACTTGGATGGGTGGAGTTCAGTTAACAGCCATATGTGCTTTGTTTTTTGAGATATTTGTCATTTGCATATGAGGGAGTGAGGCATTGCCATGGGACTGTTTGGGAGGATGAGTCCCTTGTTTCTGTTATTATTTGATTATTAGGTCATGGTTCCCTAACCCTTTCTAGATCATTCCAAATTATGATGTATTTTAAGTTTCATTTAATGTTGATGACACGTGTAGCTCATATGACCCCTCTAGTAATACCTTAATATGATGTTCCTTAGAGATTCAAAGATGAGGCGGCTCCAGTACACTCAAGAATATTGATTGTTTAATGTGGTACTGTATAAACCAGTATTTCACAGTGATAACATGCCTGACACCAGACCTAAAGAGCAGTGCTAAATTGTAGCCCAGTGTTCAGTCACTTCATGTCCGGGCAGTGTCGTAGTTGGCCACGAACCAGTCGCAGGTCAGCTTTATAGCTAGAAGGGCAGAAAAACCAAAAACAAGTCACCTTCACAAGGCTGGGGTGCATGCAAATATTCATTCAAAGCTCTCATTTGTATGTCAAGAAGCACAGATGTATCATGTGTCAGGGCAGAAGCTGCCTCTGTGCTCTCATGTATGCAGCACTATCCACTACAATTGAGTATTAAATAGGAAACTTTCAATTTTCTACCCTGCAGTTGAGATTATGGCACGTTAAAATTGACGAGTTCTAAAGCAACAGCAGCTCTGTTTTTATTTATCATAAAACAAGTTGGTAGGATGAGGGTTAAGACGCACAGTATGGTGAACTCTTACCTTCTTTAAGGGGTGTAAAGGTGAAGTCAGGGAGGTAGCGCCTTAGCTTGGCATTGCTGGCTGTCTTTTTCATCTGGCCGTCTGACAGGGTGGTGTCAAACTGATGTTCAGGGTCAAGGGAAGAGCAGATTATAACTGTGTGTTTTGACCATAGAGATGTCTGCCTTCTCACAAATATAATAGAACTAGATGGCACTCGTCTGTAGTGCTAAAAGCGCCAAAAAATACATTTTAAAAAACGCAACGGCAATGTCGGTCTCCACAAATCGTGACCCGGTTACTTTAGATAATCCACAGACCTTGTTGTGACACCCACCAATGATATCACAGAGCAGAAGGAAGTGTGCATCTACTGCTAGCTCACAGCTAGCCACATTGAGCTAACTCGCATCACAGCTCAGTCGAGGAGGATGCTATTAATGCTTACATCTGGCTCTGTCATGAGCATGAGCCTCTCATCCATGAGTAGATGCATGATTCCTTCTGGACAGTGATACAATTTGTAGTTGGGTAAAAAGAAAATAGTTCCTACATAAAACTGATTATGCTGAGTAATAGGATCATGATTTCTGGAAAGAGACACTGCTGTTGAGCTTTTCAGATATATTTTTTGGCACTTTGAGTACCACCGGCCGAGTGCCATCTAGTTCCATTATATTAAAGAAAAGGCACACATCTCTACGGCTGATATCTCCAACACTCTGCAACTCACACCAAAACAATCTAGACTGATAAACAGCACTACAGGTAAAAGGAAAAAACATGTATTTTTGATTTTGGGGTGAACTGTCCCTTTAATAGTTAACTGCAGCATGTGCTGTGTATCCCAGGCTCACAAAAACATCTTGGTCTATGGGAACAGGATGTAGGATCATTGGGGAACATTGAAAGGATACGTGTATTTTGCCTTTGAAGTCCAGAGAGTCTGCAATCATGTCCTCGGCCTCTTTGATTGAGATTTCATCCTCTTCACTCACTGACAAGACATCCACAGTAACAGGTGAATGAATGACCTGCACGTACAGTGACTGTGTCTCACACCTCTGTGTGTTGAGGCAATAACTTGCCCCATTTTCTTTGATATTTTACACAGTCAAAAAGACATGCAGAAGCACATTATAAAGCTCACTAAGGGTGAGTGCATCACTGAACTCACCAGAGAGGATAATGGGGTCAGTTTCTTCATATTCTCTCAGGACCCAAATGATGAGACGACCTAAATCCTGAGAGTAAACAGACAATTGGATGTTATTCTAAATACAGTCAGGCCAAAAAAGATACAATAGACAATTATTTTTTTACATAAGCATGTACTACACTTGTACAGGGCATCATATATATTGATACACATACCAGAGAGTAGATAAACTGTCTCCTAGGAGCTCCGGAGCCACACACATTCACCGGAGTCCCTTCCTCTGTGAGAGAGACATAAGAAAATAGACTCTATTACCGAGTTACTGTCTGTGTCTGTATATGTGTGTATTAAAAAGAATGGGTGTATCTGGGATAATCACTTTTGGCCTTGTATGTCTTGTTAATGAGTGCCGACAGCACGTGACCATTTTCTATGCTGAAGTTGTCATGGGGTCCAAACACATTGGTCGGGATGACCGCTGTGTAACGGCGACCATGCTGCTGAAAGTATGCCCTGTCAACACACAGACACACGCAGAGTAATCAGACATACAGTGACAAAGATGGACACTTTCTTCAGGTATTTATGTACATATTAGTAGCTAGTTTGTCTTCATGGCATTTTTAACAAGAAATTGGACCCCTCCTAGAGCCCATTTGGCTTTGTTGTATTGAGAGCAAGTTATGGGCTGTATTCAGGCCTAAAGTCACAGGCACAAGTTAAATAAAAGCCACAAAAGGTAAGATAGAAACTACCTGCCTGTACAGGTGCTGCCCCCTCAGCCCTTTGTTGAGCATGAATGCATGTCAGATTCACCCATGTGTCTACACCACACCCCTGTTTGCACTGCACACCTGCTCACCTGTTCTGAACATCAATCATCCTTTTAGCATGCGAGTATCCGAAGTTGGAGTCATGAGGCGGTCCGTTGTGTATCTACAAGAGTGGGGCATGACAGGAAAGATAAAGTAGGCTAATCTCATGGCTCTGTAGCAACATTGTACCCTGATAATGACAGTCAGGGTTTGAGGATTGGGATTGGCCTAATATTTGTGGTATTATTTGTCCATTTATAAGACAATTTCACTTTTTAAAAAATATTCTAATAACCCCACAAATATCCATGAGATTAAGCTTGAAACAACGTTATACAGGCAGTGTGTTGCTAAGGAATTCAAAGGACGTACACTGAATAAATGAAGGTTTAAAAAACAACCTTACCATGGTCTCATTGATGGGGTATGTGGTATTGTCAGGGAAAATACAACTGGACAGGCAAGACACGACCTTGGTGACACCCATCTCGTGGGCTGTTTGTAGCACATTATCATTGATTTTGATGTTGTCCCTCTGTGAAGGTGTCAGACAGTTACTGACTGGCTGTTGCAGCTTAAAGACAATGTAGATATCCCCCTTAAACCTGTGGTGAGTCATTTATTATCTCACCAAAAAGTGCAGGTTCTCCCTCATGTGTAGATACAGTCCTCCGACTTTCGCAGCCAGGTGGATGACATGAGTGGGACGGTACTTCTCAAACACAGCCCTGGTCTGCCCAGCATCTCTGAAAGTGTTTAAAAATCACATTTATACACATTTGTTTGTAGGCATAGTTGAATAGAAGAGTACGATTGAAGCAGCTTACACAAGGTCAGCATCCTTGGAAGAGAGGAAGATCCACTCTTCTCCCTCCAGTTTGCCACCTTCCTCCTGCACCACATGCTCAATGGCTTTGCCCACTAACCCAGATCCACCGGTCACCAGGACACGCATTGGCCCCACTTTAATCTCAGACCCCATCTTCTATATCTGTGCTGGCTCTTCTAGTGAGAATCAAGCACAGAATTGGTTTCATGATTCAAATACATTACTACAGATGCATAAATCTGATCAGCATAAATACAGGTGCTAAAATAAAAGCAGGTGAACAAGTTATTACACAAACTTAGAAATAATATCAACACAAATTCGGACTCTCAGCAGAGGAAATACAGGTAATATAAAAGTCCTTACCGGTGTGTTGGAGCGCTGAAGTGAGTGTGGACATCACCAGAGAGTGTTTGCCTGCCTGTAGGCGGTCTTGTTTAACAAGTGCATCAATCATTTGTATACTATGTTTTGTTTTCAGCTTGTTCCCTCTTCACTTTGGCGTAAAGGATGGGGTATAGGTGTGTGAGGTCATGTGAGACTCCTCCTACAACATGCTTCTGCCTTTTGATTCATGGAGATGAGCTGCTACCATCTACTGGTCACAATGTAGTTTGGACTTAACTTTGTAAATGTAAAAACATATATGTGTGGATTTCAGTTGACTCATGTTCATTAAGTACTTTTAAAAAGTTGGAATAAAATAAGTTAAAATAATAAGTGATAGAGATATGTATCTGAGCACACTGGGAGCAGAGAGAAAAAATGAAAAAGAACAGGACGAAGGAATTCAAGTTCACTTTGTTTATTTGGACATTATTCTCAAGAGTCTCTGTACTATACAGAAGTAAAACAACACACCAAAGTGATGGTCATATATAAAAATACAATTCAATTTAAAGCTGGCATCATTTGTATCAGTGGGTGGTTCCTAAAATTATGATCAAACTACAGTCAAGATGGCATAGTTGTTGTGGACAGTTGCATAGGGACCTGCTGCTTATTTCAATCAGCCATTACAAAACTTTAAAGATGCTCCAGTGAACAAACTTTGATAGTAATGTGCTCATTCTGAAAACATAAACACTGTGATACATGTCAAAGCCAGTATTCAGGTTTATTTCAGAGCACTTTTAGTACTCTTGTCTGTGACAGGTGTGACCTGACAACCACATCAATATTTCCCAGCGTCGCAACTGCAATAAATATCCCGGACACTTCATCATAGTTGTATATAATAACAATATACAAACCAAAAAAACATTAAAGATATCCTCTCAGTCATCACTTATCATCCACTGGAACAGGGGTAGGCAACATGCAGGTCTGAAGCCACATGCTTCATATGAAAATTAATAACGGTCACATTTTTTTTTTTACCATTTTAATGTTCATTCATCAATGCTGTCGCCCTAAATTGATTCTAACATTTTCCATCTGTAAAAATATGTAGCCTATATGACAAATTAAAAAAAAAAGTTTAACATTTCTGCAACTTAAACATACATCAATCATCTTCGGCTCAGCCATTTCCTCTACATGCATAAAATTGAGACATTTATGGACGTGTACCCCCACAGCTCTCAGGTGAGGTTGGGACTTTATAACGAGGTGTCGACCTGGTGCCAGATCATAAGCAGCAGGCAGACACAACGCCGAAAAACACAAATATAGTGATACGAAATGCAAAACGAGAATGAATCTGGGGTTGGCGAGCGTGTTTGCAAACAATCCTGCATAGAATACCTTTAAGGACGTCTGCTTCAAAGCTGTTGTGTGGGACTTTTTACATATAATAAAACATCCCTTACATTCAATCCCTTGCCAAACAAGCTGTTTTCCAATCAGAATGTCCCAACCTGCTCCGTGCATCAGCAAGCAGACTAACATGTCGCTTGCTTTAAAAACGCTCGCCCTTACTCATATTTTGCAAAACCTCACACACCTCCGACTTTTAGTCAGAGTAAATACAAGTTGTTCCTTAGGCTCGATCATGGCTCAGTAGGCTTCCTAAATGTTGTTGTCTTGTAGTATATCTGGCCAGTTTTCACGCTCCATCTGCAAGAGTTCGCTCGATCATTGTGTGGTAGGAGGTGCAGGCCTATCAATGGCACAGAAAACTTTCTGTATTACTCAGTATACCGGAGTTGTGGTGCAAAGGCGCTCCAAATGCAACGCCATTTACATCAACCAGCCAGAGCTACAGGGGGTAGAAAAGGGGGAGAGACCATACTGGCAGAGCAGCACCTAAGAGTATGCTGGAAGCTGTGGTGGAAAATCCAAGAAAGTTTCTGAAGTGGATGCTCCAGATAAAAAAGAAACTAAGTTAAAACCAAAAAAAGAGATGCAGTGAGCTCACCTGCAGGCGTACTTCAAACGCACATGTCGACAATCTTTGTGTAATCACTCTCACTGCCAGACAAAAGTTCCACAGTCCTGTTTTAATATCTTAACAGAGATCATTCAAACAATCCTCTAGATTCAAGTTCTGTTCATATTAAAGCTGAGTGGAAGTGGTAGCTAGCCTGGAAGGTTCCGACAGATGACAGAGATGCGACGCAGCCGAGGCACTCTCTGTCCGTTGAAGACTGACTCCTCGTCTTTCAGGATCTCATGGGTGAAACTGTATCTGGCGTCGTCCCTGTATGTGTTTGAAAAGAACAGGATGCAACATATCACTGCACTGTGTGAAGTACGAGACAACTACAGCACACTCCATGATGAGATTTGTGCAGCATATACTGAACCTCAGTATGTAGAGGGAGAGTCGGGGCAGCAGCAGGTCCAGCCACTCGTTGGCGGCATCCTCCTTCACTAGGCGCATAATACTGTCTGACAGGAGACTCAACCCAGCAATGGTGCTGCCGCAGAACTTAAAGAGACAAAGAGGACGACAGTCAGAGCACAGCTGTTGATAACAGCACAGCCCCCACACCAAGGGTTGTTTCAGTGGTTACAAAGCTGAGGATGTTGTCCCATGTTAGAAACTAACATTTGTGACTGTCTTTGTCTTGATGCAGAGAATTAAAACAAGAGCAGCCTACCTTGACACTGTCAACGTGAGGCTTGATGTAGCCATTCTTGTCCAGGTCTAGAACGTGCACAGGCCCAAGGAGTGAACTACCCGCGGGAAACGCTACAGATCGGACCCGATTCAGGACCTCCTCACATGCTGCCCCCCACCTCACACGCTCCGTCTCTCGGTACCCGTGAATGGCCTGAAGGAGGAAAAGTCGACACAGCATGAATTAAGTCTTGCATTAGTAAACTGATGCCTGTGGTTGTACTTTATGTCACCTGGAGCCAGTAAAGACATTTTGTAGATGTGCTTCAATTTGAATTTAATAGTCTATGGCATGCATGTGTTAAATTCCTGCTTAATTTCTAATTTTGTGACATGTCATTTGTGACTAACTGTTATTGCTACCTATCTGGGTCAATACATTTTTGAAACTGTATTGCTATTAACAAGCTTGCATTAAAACTAACCAAAAACTACGTTACATCTTGAAACGGGAAAGTACATTTATTTTCTCGCATCAACAGGTGTAAGATTAGGCCATGAAATGCCTTCCTATATGATTGATATATACTACTGATAGGTGTAAGAGAAGGTTATAATGTAGCCATAAGGCTGCAAAGTGGTCCTTTAAAGGGAAACACCACCCAAAATCAAGAATTGAAATTAGGGCTGCAACGATTAGTCGACTAATCAATGACTAATCGACTATAAAAATAATCAGTGACTATTTTAGTAGTCGACTAATCAGTTTGAGTCATTTTTCATAGAAAAGTACTATTAAAGTACCCCAAAATACTCTTATTGCAGATTCTTATGTTCAAATATTGGCAGCTTTACACACTCTCCCATGATGGTGAACTAAAACCCTTTGGCGTGAGTACGAAACAAGACATTAGATGACATAATTTTGGGGTTTGGGAGAGACAGACTGACATTTTTCAACATTTTAACACATTTTTCAATGAAATGATTAGTCGACTAATCGAAGAAATAATCGACAGATTAGTCGACAATGAAAATAATCGTTAGTTGCAGCCCTAACTGAAATATGTTCGGGCTTTAGCACTCTGGGCTGAAGCCTTAATCATCCAGGCCTAACAATGCCACTTAGTTTCAGCACTCTAGTTTTTGGAATTTGAAGAGTTATTCAAGTTTACTAATATTTCTGGACTGTCATAGACCATAGGAATGCTACAACAACTGGATGTGCCACAATTTACTTCAACTAAACAACGAACCAAAAAAAAGTCAGTGCTCAGCTTCAGTTGGCAATGTTAAAACCCACAGACCAAGCCAGAACTCTTGGAGTAGTCACCTGTACCCCTGTAATGGGGTCTTAAAAGGTCTCCATATTATCAGTCAGCTGCAGCTGTTTCAGAATGCTGCTCCTCAAGTCCTTACTAAGACCAAGACGGTAGATCACATCATTCCAGTTCTGAGGTCCTTGCACTGACTTCCTGTCTGTCAGAGAATCTACTTTAAAATTCTACTGCTGGTTTACAAAGCACTAAATTGCTGACCCTCTGCTTCGGTATGACTCACCCAGATCTCTCAGGTCTTCTGGGATAGGTCTGCTTTGTGTGCTCAGAGTCAAGTCTATATGCACCACGTATCTGAAACAAATTCCCAGAAACCTGCAGGTCTGCATCATCTTTCACTTCTTTTAAATCAAGGTTGAAGACTTTCTGTTTCCTGCTGCCTGTTATTAATCAAATATCTATTCAGTATTTACATTGCACTTTTATTATTCAAGTACTTTAACTGATTTTAACTGCACTGTAATTTACATTCTTGTATGTCATGCCTGTCTTGGTGTATTTTACCTTTTTATTTTCCAGTCCCTAGTTCCTTAATAAACTGCTATGAACTATTAACCACATACTCACATCGTCCCAGTGGTCGTATTCATATCGCTTCTTCTTCAGGCCTAGCTCCAGCTCTCGCATAAAAGCTCCCTCCTCCTCCTCGGTGATGAAGCCCGTCCTCACCTCCACCTGTGAGCCGAGTCTCTGCATGAGCTCGGGGCTTGAGCCGACGATGAGAGGCTCATCCCGGAGAGGTGACAGGCCGCTGCTGGCGCCGGAGCTCAGACAGCGGCGGTTAATGACGTAAACATCCGGTTTATGGATTCGTTTGAAAACTGCGAGCAACAGTTTCATCCTCCTGACTGTGATAGTGTCCGTCAACCTCGCTACACTGGCCTGTTTACCGTTACTTGCGTTTTGGTCTTGTTGACAGAAGTCAAGCGGGTATGTGAGACGCCATGTTGAAAGCGCAATGCATTGTGGGGGGCGTAGTCAATTATGTAGAGGAGTTCTTCGCCCAAGTTGTGACTGAAAAGTTAAAGCTTTTGAAAGTGTTTCCTCATCTAAACATAGCCTAAATTGAAATTATAATTAAATAAATAAATAAACAAACGTGTTTAGGATATTGTCACCTAAATTATGGTATGTCCTGTGGCCAGGGATGGACAGTATTTCTATTACTTGTATTTAAAATACGTATTTCAATTACATTTGAGTATTTTGTAATTTGTATTTGATAAGGTCGATAAAAAGCAAATGTAATTTGTAACAAAATACTTTTGAGTGGAGTAATTTTGTATTTAAAATACTCAAAATACTTTTTCCACGAATCAAAAAACAAAAATAATAGGCTACACATTCTTATAATATTGGATGTAACAATATTTTTTTCACTTATTTTAAAAAATATATATTTTTATCTGTTTTTTTAAACTTGGGTATTTTCTGTATTTGAAAATACAAAATACATGTATTTTATTTTGATACATTTTCTGGCACCAGTATTTTGTATTTTATTTTGATACATTTATTTGAGGGGTATTTTGTATTTTGTATCAAAATACATTTTGATGTATTTTTGCCCATCTCTGCCTGTGGCATACAAACCAACACTGTGCAGGTGACATAACGTACTCTTACACATTTCTCTGAAATTAATCTTTTACATTTTATATTTTCCTATATCCTATTAGTTCTAACATGACTTGCATGATTTGTTTTTTATGAATCCCCTTTTATACACATCTGTTAACTCTGATAAGAAATAGAAATATAATTGTCTAAAATTCATACATACATGCCTTTTTCATTGTCTCTTATTGGTATTATCATATGATAATGATCATGTAAAGGCTAGAGAAGCAGGAAATAATAGACAGTGCTGACAAATTTCATTTACAGCCAATAACTATTAATGATATTTTTGCCCAACAGCTTTCATTAGTAGGCTATATGTGTTTCTGTATTATCTATGTGTGCATGCTTTCAGGCCTGCATACAGAGCTCAGCCTTTAAAGTATAGCTGACTGTGTGCAACCCTTCTTCTGGCTGTCTTGTTCTCTAGCTCACAGATGTGCACACCCAGTGGCAACAGGGAGGAAAGAGTGACTGCAGATGTTGCGGTTCTTCCCTCTGGCCACTGGGAGGCAGTGAATACTTATTATTGTAAACACACCCAGGTCAGTTGTCCACCTGTGCAAACATCTGGTGAGACCTTTCAAAGTAAAACATTCAGACAGGAAGTGGTGTTTTAAATTTGTCTACTGCTACTAATGTGTGTGATTGCAGGTGGACGAAACACTTACAAAGCTCTTGTTGCAGGCCTGGTTATTGGAATGCATTATGGCGCAGGGGATGTTTGATTACATCACTTGGATTTTGCTCAAATAAACAACTTTTATAACTCTTATTTCTTATGTTAACTTAATTTTCACTATTTATCACAACTGAGTGGCATCCTCCATCATAGTCAGACACAAATCAAACAGTGGAATTAAATAAATAAGGGAATTTGTATATTTCGGGGACAAATCTAGGAACAGAATATGCAGAAATGGTTAAAGAAATTTAAAATAAAATAAAATATAATCAGAAAAAAGAAACAATAAATAGAGAATAAAATGAATGAATGCAGAAAAAAATATAGCTTAAAGGAAAACACTACTCAAATTGATCATTTTAATATGTTATTCCCATGGCTTGGAACTTGAGCTACTCTCCTAAGGCCAGAAACCCGATGTCTCAAACTTGTGATGCCATCAAGAATAAAGACTGGAGCTGCTCCATGGATATAGGGACAGCTTTGTGCCCGCGGCGATTAGAATGTTAAACCAAACATAGTAATCTTTTATGGACTAAACTTTAATTTATTGACTGTACAGCTTTTTTATTTTTATTCTATTTATTCTTTTTGTATCTGCCATGATGTTTTTTACTCTTTTTTTGTGATACTAATATGTTTTTTGTATATTAAGTGTTGTCTGTGTGAAAGCAGCCGACTCACCTAACCTAACTGCAAACCAAATCTACCCTCGGGTACTAATAAAGTTACCTTACCTTACCGTACCTTACCTTTAATAAATGGGAGACTGATTTTGTGGACCCACAGAATGTTTGTTGCCTTTTTTATAACCAAATGGGCTTTATCCTGTTTTATCTGTTGAACCTCTGTAGTGAGGTCAGGGGTGCACTATCCACCTCTCCATCATCAGCTGTGGTCTCACTGTCTGTCTCCACTGTGACATTTTGGTTTTTGTTGAGCTTTACCAGTCTACCGGTGCGTTCACACACAAAGACGCTACTTGAATAACAAAGAGGACCCAAAACTTGGGTTTTTGATCAATATCATATTATTTTTGAGGGCTTGAATGTATGAAAGTAATAGTAAGGTTATCAGATCCAGGATTCTTTTTATTAGCAGGACTTTTCTTATTTTTTAAATATATATTTAACCCACACAGTAAAATCCAGGGCAGATCTTTAAGCATTTGGGGCTGAAGCCTCAGACCTCCAAGCCCAACAATGCTACTGAGCTTCAGCACTCTAGTTTTTGGAATTTGGAGAGAGGAGACCATAGGACTAACATGTATGAATTTTGAAAATGGGCTTACTTCCCACACTACTCAGAACATTCCCCTGGGTACTCATCTACTACATCTTTCCCAATTCATTCTCTCTGGAGCAGCTCCAGACTTTATACCCTATGACATCACAAATTTGAGTTTTAGCACTAGCTTTTTGATTTGGGAGGGAGTTGTTCATGTCTGCTAATATTTCTGGACTGTCTAAGACCAGATGAATAACATGTATGAATTTTGAAAATGGGCGTAGCTCCCCTTTAATATTCTTTCTTGTCTGTGTCCGTTGCATGCCCACATTGTGGACTGTGGGAGATGGGGAACATATTTGGAAAAATCTGAATGGTTGGAAAAGAAACGGAGTATGAAAAAAGAGAGAGAGAAGCTCTGCTCTGAGAGCAGATAGTGACTTCATCCTCACAAGAGATTCCCCCAGAAAAAAAAACACACTGGCCTATTTACCACTAAGGGCAGGTTGCCTCTCCCGCTCTGTGCTGCACCCTCTTTTGCTTTGTTTCCAGGCAAACCCTTTCTCAGTGAAATATCAGTATACAAAGAAAGTAAGACATCAAAACTGTGGAGCCTAAAACTGATGTTTAAATTCTGTAGATTAGCTCTCAGAAGGGTCTCTGTCTAGGAGCCAGGAAGAGCTCAAGAACTATTTTGCTTGTGCAGGACCAGCTGCGTTACCCTACTTCTGAGTAGGTTAATAATTCTAGATGTTTAAAAATGCATTATGCTTATTTCAGCAGGCTGGAACCTTGGGTGCAGCACTTTGGTCAATCTCACACACACACATGTAGACAAATTATGCTTTTGATAAATGAGAGCATGGACCCACACATGCAACATGCACATGCAAACACATCCACTGCATACATACAAGGATTATTAGTGCTCCTTCTGTGAGCCTGCTGTCGGTCTCGGTCAGTGAGCATCCACAATGAAACCAACTCACATTCACCCCCCCCCTTCAACACACACACACGCACACACACACACACACACATACAACTGACGTGATGCCCATTTCATTGTTGGATGCCATGTTGCTGCCCCCAGCATTGCATTCATCCAGCCATGATGAGTGTTTTGGATTCATATTCTCATTCCCAGTTGGTGCAATCATTTAAAGCTTCTACGATTCACTGCATTATCATCGGTCAGCTTGTCCTGCAGGCATCATTGTGTCGTTTGTTGAATCATGCAATTAAACTGGAAATCACCAGAAAAATACTTGGCAGCGGTCAGCTGGGAAGGTACATGTGTGGAACCCATCTGCAGTTACTGCACAATGATGAGCACAGAGAAGTCAAAGTGTCACAGGATAATCTAAAGATTGTTATGCACCACAATATCATAAAAAATGAATGGAGTAGGAGAGAGTGGTTGTTATTGTAGGGCTTTGGTAGAAGAGGTACAAACACCTTAATACTGGTTGGGTGATATTTTAGTTTTAAAGGTCCAGTGGGTATGGTTTAGGAGAACATATTGACAGAAATGATCATATAATAAGTATGTTTCTTTAGTTTATAATCACATGAAAATAAGAATCAGAATGTTTTTGTTACCTTAGAATGAGCTTATGGAGCAGGTCCTCGTCCACGGTGTCCGTCATGTTGCACCGCCATGTTTCTACAGTCATCCAGGACAGACAAAGCAAGCACTGGCTTGAGAAAGGGTCATTCATGTTTTCGCGATGTGTAGTTAGCAGTCCTTCTGCGAAAAGCAGAAAAGAAGCAGAATAAAAACTCCTCAACATCTGGATCATAAGTTGTCAGAGAAATAAGGTGAGTATACATTAGCAGGTGCTGGGCTAGTGGCCCATCTACGGCATGCCACACAGCATCAGGAAAAACGAACGTGGAGCTGCTTCATTCAGTGTTTGTGACACTTTAAATCACCGGGTCCATTTGTTTTAGAGAGGAAGAGACCTCTGTAAAAACCCCCTGAACAATGAACACTGAAGGAATCCTAACCAGGAGTTCACGCTTGGCACACGGGAGAAGTTTCGGCTGGTTGCAGGATGGATGCCACTAAATGATACACACTGCTCCTTTAATATAAAGAAGAAGAATTTATTTGTGAGGGTGAGGGAAAGAGTGTGAGATTAAATAAACTTAAAGGGAAACTCAACCAATTTAACAAATTACATTTACAGGTTTTGGGGAGTACAAATGCATATGTGAAAAAAAAAAAAGTTGAAGCCCTTCAGGAGCTGCATGAAATCTGGTAAATTGCCTTAAGTGATGTCACATTTTTAAACTGTCCATTAGGAGTTTAACAATACTAAAATACTAAGTCAGTAGAGAACTCTTTTAACATAGGCTCACACAGTGATGGCGACACACAAAGAGGGAGACAGCAGTGAGAGGAGGGAGGAG